AAAAGGTTTTTTTTTCTAGAAACAATGTTCTCTGAAATGGCACAGAGAACAGGATAGCCTGAAATGGAATCAAAATCCCCGTAATCGGAACCACATTGAGTCGCCCGACCAATTCAGGTCTCATATTGGCTAAGAGGCCCATAGTAAGATCTGGATGTTCTCGTAATTGGGTCAAATTGGTCCTTCGCATCAAGCTCGCTCAGTCATCAATTTAGTCCTTTCGATTCTGTTGACTCCCAATATTGGACTCGAACGGAGCATTTCGTTACTGGTAAGTATGCCCTGATCGACTATGATGGGGTCTCTGAACTGGCCCTTGAATATTGGCACTGGAATTGGTCATTGCTTCCAATATTCGAGGTAACTGAACATTAATAAAAGTCCCCTTTCTTTATATTTTCATGGTATACTCGTGTCACAACACGACAACGTTTTGAACTAGGTATGGACATTTTGAATACAATGTCATGTCTTTTGGACTTACAAATGCACCAGCAGCTTTTCAACATCTAATGAATGATATTTTTCGAGAGTTTTTGGACGATTTTGTGGTCTGTTATCTAGAAGACATCTTGATCTATTCTAAGAATCCAGAAGAATACGAACTTCATATTCGTCATGTGTTATAAAAATTAAGAGATGCAAGACTCTATACCAAGATAAAAAAGTGTGTATTCTACACTACTCAAGTCGATTTCTTAGATTACATCATTTCAAATGATGGGCTTATGATGGATCCTAAGAAAGTTCAAACTATTATAGATTGGAAGATCCCAAAAATGGTAAGAGATGTCCAATGCTTTTTGGGATTTGCCAACTACTATCGGATCTTCATCAAAGACTTCTCTCGAGTTGCAGCTCCACTTATACGTTTGACTTGTAAAGACAAACTCCAATGGAATCAAGAAGCGGAAGTTGCTTTTGAATCTTTGACGACAACATTTGTTTCTGCACCAATCTTGTATCGTGTTGATTTTTCCAAAGCGTTCTTTATGGAAACAGATGCATCAGACTTTGCTCGGGGTGCGATTTTGTCACAAATGGGAACAAATGACAAACTTCATCTAGTAGCCTTTCATTCAAAAAAATTCTCAGCAGCAGAAATCAATTAAGAGATCCATGACAAAGAACTTCTTGCAATTGCGGATTCTTTTCAAGAATGGCATCATTATCTAGAAGGTGCTTCCAGTCCAGTCACCGTATATATAGATCACAAGAACCTCGAGTATTTTATATCAGCATATATATTAAATCATCGTCAAGCTCGTTGGAGCATGTCTTTATCAAGATTCGAGTTCATCATCACCTATCAGCCAAAAAAATAACAAGGTTTATCTGATATCTTGTCTAGATGTTCTTATCTTGTACCAAAAGAAGGAGATGTAGCTTTTGAGCAACAAAGAACGGATCTCTTGAACCCAAAGCAATTTCATCTTCGAGCAATAAAATCAACATTGACTGTTGATTTAACTTTTATCAAGCAAGTCCAGTTAAGTATGTCTTCAGACCCTCTTGTTCATGATATCAAGAATAATTCTTCTAAATCTCATGATCCCTCTAAATTTGAATTCAAGAATAACTTACTCTATTTCAAAGGACGCCTATATGTTCCAGAAGGAGAAGCACGTTTACGTATTCTTCAAGCTCGTCACAACTTCGCAACAGCAGGACATTTTGGATACAAGAAGACTTTGGAGCTGATATCTAGGGATTTTTGGTGGCCTCAAATGTGGAAGGCAGTCATACCCTCAAAATCTTTGGGTGATAAGGTATGGCTACTTCGTCACAATGTCAAGACCACTCGTCCTTGTGACAAGTTGGACTATCAAAAGCTAAGACGATTTTCTATTTCTGTACAAATCAATCCAGTTGCATATCGTTTACATCTATCGGAGTCAATAAAAATCCATTCAGTATTCCATGTGTCTCTTCTTGAACTGTACAAGACAATGGACATACCAAGAAGACGACAAGCTCCACCTCCTCCTATAGAAGTAGAGAATAATGAAAAATTTGAAGTTGAAGAAGTCTTAGATTCAAGGCGGTGCCAAAATAAATTAGAATATGTTGTCCATTGGCATGGATATGATATTAGTGAACACACATGGGAGCCAATAAAGAATCTTGTAAATACAGCAAAGACGGTAGAGGCTTTTTATCAATGACATCCATCAAAATTAAGATGAAAACCTTCTTTATAAAAGAAACAACATCTAGGCAAGATAACATTCTACTTTCAATCATTGTTCATAGCTTCTTTGTAGTAGTGATGCTCAGGATATGGAGAACCAACAACTAGCGGATTCGACTCAAGAGCCTTCATTTGATGACCTGTCGGACGAGACATTATGATTGTCACAACCTTCAAGATGATGCAATCGAGATGAAGATCTTCAAGAACGACATGTTCTTTCTCGAATAAATGATGAGATACAACGCGTTTGGTATCATGACTTGGAAAGGGACTCCCAATGTTTGGTGATTTTGCTAGAGGTAGGAACAACTCCTGATGGTGTTCCAAATATTCTATTCGAAGGAAGTTATGAAGGCCTCAACAATGATCAAATAACTGGGTGGTCTTCCCGCCTTGATATGGGACACTACCGATGGTTGAGAGGCCCTATCAATTATCTTCGAAGAGAACAAAGATCAAAGCATGTGGCGAATATAATTCGTCACATCATAGATTTCTTCAACATATGATGACCACTCCTCGTGGAATTCGTCCCTAGAAGGGGGGTAATGTCACGGACATACTCATAATTACATATACAAATATGTAGAAGTAAGTCAAAGTAGGTAAAAGTAAATTAATTCTATAGTATTTGATATGGAAGCTTCCTAGAAGCTTTATAGATGCTGATTTGACTTCATAGGTGTCTTTAATTGACTTTTTGGATTAGAAACGTGGTCAACAAGTTGGCCATGTGCCACACATGTTGTTAGCTTGAAGACCAAGCTAACTATGTGGCCCACACGTAGAAAAACTTGCCTTGTAAGTCAAGGCATGTATCCTACAAAGTCAACACATATTGGAGGTCCTATAGAATATTGCCACATAGCTACTTGTTAGATAGTATATATAGAGACAAGAGTGAAGCCTTCTTCACTCTTGTCAACTCCTTTCTTGCTTCCAGTCTAGTTTCAAGGGCCTCTAGTTTCTTTGTCTTTTGGCAATAGCCATTCCATTTTTTCTTTCAATATACATACTTATTTATTTATATTTTGTTACCTTTCTTTGAGTGAAGGCACACTTATGTGAATTGATTTTTCATCGAGTTCTTGTCCTTGACAAAATGTCATATAACACAAAACTCAAATTATTTTTTTCTCTTTAGAACTCATTACAAACTATGGTCAATATTTTGCTATTCTAGAAAGATACATTGAATTCTCTAACATATGGTTTAATAAGTTAATAATTATTAAAATATATAGAGAAGTCTATTCTATTAATCAAGATGCAATTGAAGTAACTTTACTTGCTTTTTGTCCATGTCTTGTCAATTATAACTTCTCAAATATATATATCATATGAATAAGATGATTTTTTTTTTATTTTTTTTATTTTTTATAGTATGGTGCTAGATAAGAAAACTACTCAACAATAAATTTTTCGTTTAAAAAAAAAAAAAAAAAAAAAAAAAAACTTCCAAACTACAATTGTATTTACCACAAATATTGATTGAAGTCATAAGTTATTTCTTTTTTTTATTGGCCATGTAAATAAGCCTTGCTGCTTTAATTTTTGCATGGATAAGTAACTCAAATTTTATTATTATTTTAATAAAAAAAGCTTTAATAATTAGGATTTTTATTTTTTCAAGAATAGCTAAAATAACTTGATGCAGAGATAGGTAGGGCAAATTAGCACATCATCCTTCTAGTAGACAATGTACCTTTTTCACATTACTCATGATTGGTCAACTCCAAATATCAAAATTTGTACACTTCTTCCAAAATCAACTTCTAAAATTTATCCTATAGATGTAAGAATAATTGTTATTTTCAAGTGGTACTACCAACCATTTTATTTGCAAAATGCCATCAATTACAATGAGTACCATGAGCTCAATATATATAAGGTTAAGAAGCTGACAACAATGTGTTAGTCACTTACAAACTAGGATAAAATCTCTTTGATTACAATTAAGAATTACTTCCATCGCATTGGACTTTTTAAGTGTACAAGCAAAGTAATAGAAATTGAAGTTAAAAGAATAGTTAAGACAAAGCTTGTAAGTACACTTAAACATATTGAACCAAACCATGTTTTTTTTATACAATATGCTTATCTACTCAAGTAAATAAAAACTCTAGAAAGCATTCACATGAAAATATGACATCTTTGCTACCAAAATCCTTTTTAAACTTAAGAGTGCTTATATCAAGTAAAAACGCATCATCTAGATTTGCTTATAGATTTCTTTGATTTTAAAATTGTCTTAATACTTAAAAATGAGATATGGCATGACAGTAAAATAAGACATATTATTTGGTTTAATATTCAAGAATTTAAATACATGGTGTTACAAAAAAATGCGCAAGTATATTTTAAGACTACTTATCTAAATAAATTCCTCTCTTAAATGGTAAATGGTGAAACAAGTCTTGGTTAGTAAAAGTATTATTAGGATGTAAACAAAAGGTGAAAATCTACTAAAACAACAAAATTTCTCCTAATGGCCATCTCATGCATACACCAAATAAAGAGAAGGCAATAGAAATTATACAATCTTATACAATTTGTAACAATCCTATACTTGCCTTACAAAGATATTAGAACATAAGAAGACTTATTTTGCTTTGACTTCTGTTACTTGTGTGATGGATAAACCAATTGTGTTATAAAGAGAAAAAAGGAAAAAGAAAAAGGCACGCATTATTCTTGAGCTAAATCCACATAATTTCTGTTTGGAATTGATTGGAGGCTTTGCTCAGCACAACATCTGAAGGTGACAAATTGAAATCACATGATGTCCGAATTTTGAAAAGATCAAGAAATAGGTAGTCATGTGGCAATTTACATAGACTTTTTTAGGTCACCGGAACAAGTCACTGGTTTGGTTCAATGAACTTATACTCTACTGACGATGAACGATGCCATGCGGGTCTGGTTTTACAGGGTTATGAAATGGGTCTTTTCCTGAAGATGCTGTCACTGATCTTGTGAAAAGTTTTATCACGTACATGTGATTTTTTTGCGGTCCCCGCTGTGTTGGGTGCAGAAGAACGGCATAAATGCAGAGTAGGGTATTGCTGCATAGATAGGGAGGATATTTAGGTCAAGCATGCATTGAAGAGTTCTGCCAGACAGGTGTATGTGTTGAACTTATTACTAAAGATGAAGAAGACATCACTTCTTTGCTGTTGAATTTGGTTAGATATTGAAAAAAAGTTGGGTGCGGGTTTCGATCACATATGGAGAGCCCTTTGGATTTTCGTTTTCGTGTTAGAAATCATGAATGACCAAGAACTTGAATCAATTTCGCAGCTGATGGATGAGCTGGAAAAAATGCCTCTGTACCCATTCAAGATTGTTTTCAAGGTTTGAATTATAATGTACGGTCTCACAGGGTGTTTTTCTTAGCTGCTAGTCACTATTGTGGGCACATGATTTGTAGTAAAACACTGCCAGATTAACAAGTGAGCAATGCTTATGAGAGCAACAGCATCACTACTGCCGTTACTGGAATTACGCAGCTTCTGCCGATGCTGCCCTAAAACCCTGAAGATGTCGAATGCCGGCGGTGCCGGCTCTGTAAGAAATAAGCTTCTTTCATTGCATTTGCTTGTCTAGTTGAGGATTTAAGTTGCTGGTAAAGAACGAAATGATACATGTGTTCAAGATGCTGATTGTATAAACTCATCCGACGAACTATTGCCTTAGACTGCCGGGGCTGCACACCAGACGGTTTTCCGGAAGAATTAGTACTGTTTCAATTCATTAGCTAAGGATATGAATATTCTCATGAGAACATGAATAATCCCTAAACTCTAATCCTGGTAATGATAGTAAGTATAGACTTGATGCAGTTAGTTTTTCTTTACAGTCGAGAGAAACATTTTTGATTTTCAGGTTCTGAAACTACTTGCGGATGCAGGGATTAGTTCTGGAAACAAGCAACACCACATGCAAAAACCGGATGAACCGTGGATTGTTCTTTGTATACTGTTGTATATCTTGGTGCTCTGTGTTTCCGTGTATTACCTCCTGCCTTCACATTACAGTTGGGATGCGAGTGTTGATGGGAGCTTCTACAGAGGTGTTACCTTCCCACACAACAGGTAATCTCGCTGAACATTGTATATTTGAAAACCAGACTTCGAAAATGGTTACGTCTTCACATCTGCTTGTCAAGCTGATTTAGGTGCAGGGACAATTTTCTCATTTCCGCTTTTGCTTCAACTGAACTCAACTGCTACACCCATCCAGATGCTCCTGTATGCATTTGTTATGGAATCAAGAAGTGATATTCTGTGGTTACTTGTGGTCTTATTTTGCTAGTTTATTGTTGATAAGGTGTGCAGTAACCTTGTTCTTGATTGAAATAGAACCAATGCGTCATCCACCAACAGTGATGATTGATTTAGCAACGCTTTGTCTTCTGCAACCTATCTCGATCAGGTTATACCACTATTTTAAGGGTTGCCTCAACTTCCCACCTTTCCACTAGATCTTCTGTACGATCATCTTAACTTGGAGCACATAAAATCATCTGGTCTGGTGATTTTCTATCGAATTTGCACAGTGCATAAATTGTGTCTTAAAAATTGCAATGTTTGGTCCCTAGAAGGAAAATACGAGTGCTGATCAGTATTAGCAAGTCTTGTTTCCTTGTTGGCATCTCAGATCTCAAAAGACTCATTAGTGGATAACTGCTTTAGCCCAATATCAGCTATTCACTTTGAGATGTTTCACAACATCGAGTAGGCAAGCTTGCAGTATTGGGTGGGATAGTGAAAAGGTCTGTTAGATATGATGTCTAACCAGTGACATTCTACCTATCGTTTGTGTATATGGCATCTTTGTATGAAGTATTGTGTTGTTGGTTTCTCTTAAAATTTAAGTAAGCTGGAGAACAATAAGAGGTTCCTGTGACTTTCTTGATGCTCTCTTAGCTGCAGCAAGGTTACCTCGGTTGATACGAAACAACCGAGTGCTATCAGTACGAGAATTCAAATATCAACGCTAGAGGTTATGGTTTTTGGTCAAACATTGGATGTGCTGTGAATGTTGGTGAATCTGCCCCGTTGATTTGCAGATTCTATAGCTAGAAGATTGTCGAAAACGTGCACCTCTGGTCATAACTGGCAAGCTGGATTGATTGTTTTAAGTGCAAGGTCAAGGTTCTGAATTTGCCTGTCGACTTGTGAATTGTAGCCTGGTAGTTATGTAAAGGATATTCAGTGCCTTGTATCTTGAGTTTAGGTTTGAACTTGGTTCGTCTGTACGGACAGTAGTGCACTATAAAAAAATGTTTTCCCTCGTACGTCTGAACTGATCATTAGAATGAAGTGAAACCGAAAGAAGATAATGATTCCTGAATACTGTATTCCCATCTCTGATATCCAAGTCTGTACCTTTCGAACTGCTGCTTGAGGATTGACGAAGGTGAACTGCACCTTGTGCTGTCTCGAATGAAACAATATTGAATTATTAAATGAAGTCTCGCCCAGGAATCGCTCGAAGTGTTCTTTCAGTAAATGTGAGCAGTGATTTTCCTTGACAAACCTTTTGGAAGTTAAAGGTGCTCAACCTGGAAATTCAGATCTGTACACATACTTCCTGTCAAGGAATTAATGCTCAGCAAGTAAGAGTAACAATTGCTCTTACAATGCAATATCATAATCAATAAGCATCTTTGGCTTTCAATTGAAGACCACTTCATGAATTTATATTGATTGACTAAAAGGAATTTCCTTTAATGAATAGGCTCTAAACTTCTGTTTTACAGAAACGTTAAAAGGAAGAAGCGCTGATCGGAGATACAGGGGAAAATATACTGTTGGTGATTAATTCCAAGCATGGCATCTTCCATCGTGCTGTCAAGAGAAAGGAATGCAATTCCTCGGCCCTCAAAAACGACACGTAGAACTTGCCACATTTCGCAATCGCCATCAAATTTAATGACCTTGAATTTTATCCACACATTATTTAAATCATTCTTGTTACTCAAACAATCCTGATACACCCAAACAACAGCATCCGACACGCTTCAGTGCCTTTACAGGTATACATCATGCTTGTCAAAATGCATGGCTAGCGTCTGTAGAAGCTTTTCGACTTTGACATTCAGAATTTCCTAAATTGTTGGTAGTGGCTACACTATGATAGTCTGAAAGGCGAACGGCAAACCGTGGCACTGCCCAGGAAGCTTTATTTGGAGGATCTTACGTGTGGCTTTAAAGAACTGAAAGTGCTTTTATAGATTCAGACACTGCAGCCTGCAACATTAGGTGCTATTTGTTTATCATGCGGGTGTTAAGTCCGTTGAAGTGTTTGTGTCGTTTCTTCTTGTCTCAGGATAGCTATGGACCCATGATGAACTTCATGAAGATTAATTGATTTATAGGCTGGGAAAATCTGTAATCATCCGAGTCTTCCATTTCAGTAGAAACTGAAATCATATGTCAGGAAATATTCGTAGCGACTTGGTCGTTATGTTGTTTTCTCCAGCACTTCGAAGGGTAGGTTACCAGTTCAGTGTTGGTGCATCTTTCCACTTGAGAGGTATTATGGATGTAAATCCAATTAATGAGGCGGACAATTTGCCAACCCATGCTGCCAGGCAACAGTACAAAATTCATGTGCAATCAACCATCTTCCTCCGTAAATAGTGATCGCCCAAATTTGCGTCCGCTACTCTACTTGAACACTTCCTCAACCGTGCCAACTTCATGCGCATGGTGTGATGACTGATGAAATCCTACCATCATTCCAAACCTGAGTTTCTTCAACACTTCTGCACCCTACTCAATTATTTGGTTTCACGAGCACAGAGACAAGCGCTAAGTCCACCTAGAAGAGTCCAAAAGACATCGGACTCCTTTTGGGTTTCTTTTATAAGCTCCTGACTCTCTCGTTCCCTTCGCATCATTGCACTAGAATTCGACATGAAACTTGAGTCTGAGTATCAATCCCTTCAGATGATAAAAATTCCAGCTACTGATGTCAGACTCGTCCGCCGTTAAGCTCTTGTGACGGATGAGCATGTGAGAAAATTTTAAGAGAGGTGGCCGCCATCGTTTCAGCGATCAGGACAAACAGGTGACAAATTCCAGCGCCTCTGAAGTGAATAGCATGCCCGCTAAGTCGGAACAGATGCGCTGGTACAGACAACGCTGTCTTCCCTACTAGTTGAACGTCCCCACTGATTTCTGACTTTTCATCTTCGTGGGACATGAGAGCTTTAAGTTTCAGAGTGAGACTGCAAGGGGCGTCTGAGAGGATCCAGTCTCCATGATAAGCTGCTTTCGGATAAAGTTTCCTGAGCTCTGAAATATGTGAGTCAGTAGCGTCCTTGTAGATGGTACGCTTTGAGAGGGAGACTCAGACACAAAATTGTGAGAACTCGTACAATTTGGGGTCAGTAGTAGGCTCTCTATGGAACGTAAACTGAAATGTGCTCCAACAAAAATATAGATATTTTAAGATAGGTCCGTGGCTCATTAACTTAATGAGAATTCTGGAATTCATAAGAAGCATTCAACTAGTGCATTGAATTGAGCTCATGTTCCAGTTAAATTCCACTAGTCTGGAACTACAATGCAAACCAATCACAGCAACCAGTTGAGGTTTGTAGAGGGCTGCTAGGATGCGAGGAGTTGATTAAATGATCACCCAAGCTCATTGAGCATGAGTAAATCCTTGTGGGATCCTCCTATGGAAAGCTACCTTCAGGAATCAAGAACGAAATAGAAGATCCTTGAATAGCAGAAGAGAATGCGCGAGTTTGTGCTTTATGTGTGAAACAATTGTTGAACAGATTCGTCAGAGGGAAAATTCGCCAGATAACTAAAATGTTATAAGACCCACACGGTCTCGATCATGATGGACACGCTCGTCAAGCATGAGATGAAATGATCGTATCCAACCTGTCATTTTGATTCAAGACGTTCTCTTAATGTAAATTCCTTGAGAACATAAGGATCCATCTCAATCTTCTAAGTCGTTAGGACCTCTTTTCCTTCTGCAATTTTCACTAAGTATAGTGAGCTAAACAAAACTTCAAAGAATGCCACACCAGTTACGATTAATTAATACCCTTGATATGCCATTCAAGATACTGTGCCATCTAGATGACATCGAAAGTGGGAGCCGGAGTCATTTCGACACCTTCCTCATGTGGAGGTCGTGGTTGATGAGGTCAATGCTCAATATATGATCCCCGATCACTAGAGAAAACAAGTGTATCTTCTACAAAACCTCATGTGATTACCATTAGATTTACAATTAATCCACCCAGGTGTAGAGTATGATCCTACGAAGCAATGAGATTTTCCTGGAGAAAGCACCTTTATTTCACACCCCTTAAAATCAACTCCTAGATTCATGAGAATTATTTGAACCCTGGTCAAGTTCTTCTTGGACAGATGAAGAATCAGGAATCTGCTGCACAATCTCACCGACACACAAATTTGACGTACAGTCAACACTGAGACTATTGAAGCAAGCATCTGTTTAATTTCATCTGTATGCTGTAAATGGAATTGACTCGACGGATCAACAACCCATATCATGATTTCGAGTCAGTGTGCAAGAGCCATTTAAAGATCCCAAGGGAGTTCAACATGGTCCTTGATGCTGCGATATTGTCAGCTCGAGGCCTCATTCAATTCTTCAATTTTGTGCATGTGAAGGTGACTGAAACCAACTTCTGAGCTTTCGCAGGTTCACTTTGTGGCCAGAGCAAGAGTACATGATGCTTGCGGCACGTAGCAGTACTCGAGACGGATCATGCTATGGATTGGTCCACGACATGCATAAACTAGACTCATGACCACGGATTTTCGATCAAAAAATTATTGCAATACTCTTGAGCCGCATACAATTAATTTGAATAGTTTTTGACGAGCTTGATCTGGCAGTTGCACCCTAAATGGCCGCATCAAAATGATGAGCAGAACACCTGTTAATCAGAAATTGGGCGTACACTGATCGTAGGATTCTGCCTTTAAACAGCCTAGACTTGCGAAGGACTGCAAATCATGACGAGGTTTGAATTTGCTTATCAATCGAGTCAATTTCTGCTAAACAAGAAAGTTTAGGATTTTGATACATGAAAATCGTCATACAAGTGTATTTTTCTTGAGGAATAGATGGTCAAACCAAACCACAGTTGCCACACTTCTGGAAAAAAGCAAGAACTTGTGATAGGCCGCGAAGGAACAGTCGTTTATTCGCAACTGTCCATTAAGATTTGCAATCGAGTTGTTACTGAACAGCCTGGTGATCACGTCAGGGAGCTAACAGATAATCAAGGGAGTAAACTAACACCCCATACATCTCTGTGTCTAGTCTACTGTTTAGATTTGACTCAGAAGTGCATATGCTTACATGGTCTTGGATGCCTAGGGTTTTGATCCAGCCGAGAAGCTGCTGCCGCACTGGTTGAATTATCTCACAAGCAATGTAAAGATCCGTTTGCTGTAAAGAATCTGCAAGATACTGCAAACCCTAGGTTGTGGAGATGTGCCTCGCGTGCAGAGAACTTTTACCCTCTGCAATGAAATCTACGTTGACCCAAAATGCTGTACCTTCTGCTTGAGTAGATTATGTTTTTTTGGGGGACTAACCTAGATTTCAAAGCGATATTGGGGTATCATCTCTTCCTTATGGCAGGGAGTTCTTATGGTTTGCTGACATTGGTGAACTTGCAGACCTCATTGCCTGCAGCAGGGTCCTAGGATCACTTTACCATCCGTCGCTCATCAGTACTACTTCCTACTCATCACTTACGCAAACGACGTACTCCACCAACTGCTCCCAACTCTAGCAGCTTGAGAGTAAATTCCATTGGCATGAATTCCATATGTCGGACAATAGCAGATTTTCATCCTCTCTCTCTCTCTTTGTGACTGAACGGTGAACGCTAATCCCTATAACTGGAAAAGAAGAAAAAATAAAAGAAAAAATAAAACATCAGTAGACCTACAGTTGGGTATTCTAAGAAGGGCACCGTTCACAATTGCATCACCGTACAGACACCCAATTATGAAGACGGATTCTCGTTCGAATTTAACGTTTCAGTGGCATTTTCCTCAAAATTCACATATTGCGACTCATTGACGAATAGACTGCTTGTCCTTCACACGACACAGGTTACATGTACAAAACTACAAAGTAGACCGTAAATTCATCGCTGGCACCAAGCTTGCTGATGAGGCCAAAGCTGAACGATTTGCTGGAATAGAATGCAGATGAACCGTCACGCTTCCAGCTACAGTTATTATTTGGTGAACCATGAGATATTATTCGTGTCCGGGTTGGCGCCTGTGGGGGTGGTGGTGATGCGGCACCAGGAGGGATTAGGACCTCTCCGGCCTCACCATGGGAGGAGCAGAGTTGGCTGATGAAACTCTCAAGTGTCGTCTTCCACTGATCAAGCAATCATGGGTACTTCCGCTGCTCCTGGAATGTAGTTGACCGGTTCCAGTATCGCCGTCCACCCCGTGGCAACTGTTATTGTGCTTGTGCATATGCTGCAGCACCAGCACCCAGAGCCAACGTGGTTCTCCTCCGGACACACACTCATCCTCAGAACCAATTGTTCACCGTCCGACCAGATCCACATCTTCTTCCTTTTTGGTTTTCTGGGGATCGGTTTTACTTTTCGGAATTGGGTTCGATCGCGGCGACGGAGTGGAAGACCATGCTTGCTTGCTTGCTCGTGGTCCCGAACTGCAGGAGCTGCGATTCTCGTAGTGGCTGCTCGGGTCCCGAATACATGATCCCATTCCCTGAGTTTATCAGTTTCTCAGCAGTTGGCGGGTTTTACGTCTATTCACAGCCGGGGAATCAGGTAGTGCCATCGACGATGAGAAGCGTTGTGGGCGGTTGCACACAACTTGCCAGAACTTGCAGTGCTGATGTCAGCGACAGTCCTGGCCTGAAGCTACAACTTGAACGAACTTCTGTTTTTGATGATTTTTTTTCTGAACGCACTTTGATTCAAGTGGCAAATCAGTTGAACTTCCGTTCATTGTTCATTCAACACCTGGAACCTTCAGGCACAATTTTTTTAATCAACTTCTTTATTAAAATATATACATGCTTTTCTTAGAAGCAAGTTTAAGTCTTGAAAAACTGATTTGGCAAGTTTTTCATGTAAATTCATGGAATGGAATTTTGCTACGAAATCATGTATATTATAATATTTTAATTTATATTATAATATTAATTTCAATGTAGTGGGGAAATCTAGATTGGTGTTCAAATTCAATAAATTAATGTAGACTTGAGTAATAAGTTACAATTAGTGGCACTTGTTAAAGTGGTTTCCTTTTGAAATTTGATGGTTGGTCTGTTATGGTGTTTGGGTCATTAGGGTATAAATAATTCAAGATGCAATTCATTTTTTATAAATTTTACTTTTATAAATATTATTTCCTTGCAGGTGTTATACAAGTATAGTTGCATTAGCATCATTTTATTTATTTATTTATTTATTGTGTGCCTTCATTTAAAAATTTAGTTGTAGTTACTTCAGTGTGATCAAAAGTTTTTAAAAATATATATATCATTTCAGATACTTGGCCCATACATTGAACTACTTTCCAATAAAATTTCAATTTAGAAAATACTCGTTGTTCTCTTCTCTTTTTTTCCTTTTTTTGACATTGAAAATGAGGGTTACACTTCAATCAACATTTGTACAAATGTTGCAAAACAGGTGCTTTCACGAGTAGTAACACATCCAAAGGATCTCCTGTGCACCACTAGTTCCGAAGTTATGTTTAGTTTATGTTTGACTTTCAACACTCTACTGGATCATACCTTGCACGCACATCCAGTTTCGTTGATTCTATTTTTTATTTTAATCTTTTTAAAATGATTTTTTTTCTTGTTTTAGTGCACTACACAAGGTCACATGCTTCTCTGAAAATAGATGGGTAGATGTACTGGTAACTGGTAGAAGACAAAACCATAATGCACCCATTCCTTGACGACTGTAGCGTAGAGGATACTCCTCAAACATAATTCAGGGCTTCCTTGGGGCTGGAGCCCAGTTACCTCCGCAAACCATTGCACTGTGTGTGAGAGTGAGAGAGAGAGAGAGAGAGAGAGAGAGAGAGATAAAACAAAATAAAATAAAATAATCCAGGCTGTGAAAAGGCCTCACTGACGAGACTATTAGAAGCTTTGTACATACATCACAACTCTATCGATATGTTTGGAGATCGGCCTTTAGTTTTCCTCGGCAGTTGGTGGGCTTCGAATTGCAGCAACGTAAGCTCATCTCGATTCAACATCTAGAAAGACATGACAATTAACTTTAAGAAATAAAGGGCAGCGAGAACCATTTGAAACTCCCGATATGGTAATGAACAGAATTGTGGTCATTATTTGAACACGCAGCCTCGTGCAAAGTGGAACTGGTACAGGGGCGAAAAACTAGGTAAGAACTTTCAGAGCTGTTACTAAATTCGATATCTACGAACGTAATCTTATGTATTCTACATAGGACCTGGCAAAATGTCTTCCTGGGGGAACTTGAGCTGGCAGGATTCCAAAGTTGCAGATTTAAAGGGAGTACCATGCGAGCTTTTTAGCCGGCAACCGAATGTTAGTACGGATTATTGTTCATGATGCAGATTTATTGACGGAGTAGATTCGATGTGGTCGATCAGCCTCGCTGGAAGGGCCGGGTAGGGAGCAAGTTCCTCGCTGTTTGTCTTACTTACAAAAGTTCTGCGCCCAGCTGACTGCAATGCGAACTTCATGGACGAATTGTTTGTTTTTATGTGGTTCCTCTGCAAGGCATGGAGCTTGCTTTTTCCGAGAAAGAGACAATAGCAAGGGGAAAAGAGCTCCTTTGATCCCATCAGACTGTAATCTCTGTGCATCGTCCAAAACATCGCCGATGCGTAGTGGGAATTATCAACGAGTGGTCGCATTGTTTTAATTTTGGAAATGTTGCAAATTAGATAAATGTAGGGCCCACGTCCCAAGGTCACCGACCTACTCAATCAGCTTCCCTCTGGATGTACAGTTGTGTGCACTGGTACCACCGTGCGACAAAAGTGTTGCTCTCAACGTTCATCAGAGCATGATATGGGGTCTGTGTGTCTGGCACTTCGGAGTTCGGGTTCTGCTGCCTGGGTCTCAACCCCAAGCGCCAATAGATTCGCGTCTCCAGGTGCTCCCTGGTAACATAATTCAGTTCACACAATACAATTGTACAAAATAATGTGAGGTCATAGTATTCGCGTGGCCACTCTAACTGAACCTTTCATGGTTCGGTATGTGTGCATACGTACGTAATTGAAGGAGGAGGTCCTGCCTTGGAAGAACGATTCAGAACCATCGAACTTAGATAATACTGCGTTCTATGAGAATTTTGTGAGCATCCTCAAATTGATGAATAGTGAATGAGTCTATAGAGCTTATAGACATCTGCCTACCATTTTTTTTTTTAATTAAAAAATAAAACGAAAAGGGAGGGGGGGGAGAGCATAGTCTTCACGCTATGGTATCCACAAATTCCTAGAATAAATCTGTGCACGGTGGTCTCCAGCTCATGTTTCATCCACCCTACAAAGTCTCCAGAATAAGTGACGGACCTAACGCCTTCGAAGATCCAAGCCAATCACTAGATCATGGCTGAATGCTTCAGAGCGCAATAATATCACGCAATGCCGTGGAGAGAAGTTCAGTTCAAATCGAAATCCTTTGGGTTGGTTTGGTCTGCTGATCGGGATGACTCACCAGCTGCTGCCGCGACTAGATTCTCTTCCGACTGTGAAGCCTCTTCGACTGCCATACTGGTCGCAAATGTAGACATACTAGTTGTTCCAACTGGCCAGATGTGCTTCCGTCCCTCTTCTGAAGAGACTGGCAACCGGGCACTGATCGTGTCAGTCCAGGACATCCTTCCCGACAATAATTTGCAGCTTGGATCTGCCTGCTTGGCCCCACCCTCATGACTTCCAGGAACCATGAAAATCTGTCCACTAGAGATTCCACTTTTCCCAGGACCTACTTGCAATTGCTCGCAGTTTGAGGTAGGTGGCGTTACAAATGACCAAGAAGAAGAGCCTGGAGACGATGTTGGGGTTCGTATTGATGCATTGACCTCAATGGCGGACTTGCATGAGTGGCAGAAGGAGAATTGAGAAGAGTCTTGGGAGCTAGCACTCGCCCCCACTGATCGCTCCACTCGCTCTTTTAAAAACTGGGCCTTCTCCAATTCCGCTTGAGCATGCTCGCGAATACGCTTCGCCTTCGCAAGGTCTGCCTCCGATAACTCAATCTGCCGCTTGGCGACTTCGCGTGCGCGGTCTGCGTATTCTCTCTCAGCTGATGCTAATTGAAGCTGTTCCCGGGCTTCTCTTTTGAGAACCTCGGCCCTGGCTAACTCTTTCTCGGCTTCCTCACTCTCCTGGCGAGTTTGATGTTTAGTTCGTCTCGCAGTCGCTGGATCCGACCATGCTGTGCTCATGTCTGTCCAGGTCTGAATTAATCCAACCAATGGTCAGAATCCCGGTATAATAAATGATCGATATTCTGTATGGCATTGCCTTTCTGTACTGTGAGCATGAAACTGACATGTTTGACATTAAAAGAACCAATTTAAGGATTGAGAATATCCACCTGCTCACATGCCTGATCACCACGTGTCCCTGCAGCAGCCATTTGCTTCTGCGATCTGCTTACATTGATATCTATCGAGTGTGCACTGGTAAAGATCTCATGAGTCTCGGTCACGTCTGTGTGATCTATAGTGGCTTGCCTGCTTCTGACCATGGAAGTGGCTGGCTCAAATTGCGAATGCTGCAAAGCACCTCGTCTTACAGGTCGCAATCCCGATAGATCTGCAGCGGACAATTCGTAACATGATTCGTAAATTTCACATCAATACACGAAAAGCAGCATGAGTTTGAATAACTACGAACCACATTTGTCAACCTACTTTCATATGCGTTAGAAAGCTTGAATATGTGGACTTTCTGCCATCACCATGCCACATGTAGAGATAGAAGCTATGCAATTATAACCTACGTTTAATGTCGAATCTTACCGATATCTTAAAGCAATACATATGGAAGGTTCACACAACGTCTTGTTTAAAAGGAAATAATAAGATCTCGCACATGCCAGTATCCAGGTTCCTACCTGACTCATGCGCCTTACCGGCCCGATCCTCGTGACAAGACGAAGTGCTACCAACTCCATGGTTATAATTCAGCACCATTTCAGTACGACTGCTTGTTTCTTGAGCCTTCAATTCACTATAATCAGCTGCATTGCTGTGGGTCAGGGATGGACCGAGCCTACGAGCCGCCTGCATGAGGAAATCACTCAGGGAAACAGCTGCATCTGTTCCAGTTGCAGCAGAGTCGATCGCAACCTGGTTTCGAGTCTGCACCAGGTTTGTAGGAAACATCGATAGAGCCAGATCATTGCCCAGCGGTGCTCCAGAGCGTGAACTCGTTCCAATCTTCGGAATCCCAGCAGATCCTTGCCTCTGTTGGTACGTTAAAGCTAAGACCTCTCTTTCCACCGAACTAAAACTAGGCTTCATATCCACAATCGGAGATGGGGTGCTTGAGCCAACCTCGGCACCAAAAAGTCCGATTGAGAGAGCTAAAGACGGCGCATTGACATCCTCGCTGCACTTGCTAGGTGAAATTGCCTTGGACCCCATGCAAGAAACCTCCGGATGAACGGAATTGATGGAGCTGCAGAGTGTAACCTGCGACCTGGAGCCATGACTCGGTTGAACGACTCTTCTGTCCCCTTGCATTGTAGAACCAGAGGTCAAAACGTCAGGATGAACAGATTCGGGTGGGCGTTGCTTCCATGGGAGTAGCTCCAGTTCCTTGCGCTGGTCCAGTAGCCAACCAGGCAATACGGCATTATACGCCGCCTGGCTCTCTTGAATCCTTCTAGAGTGCTCGTGATCGATGACCTTGGTCGAATCTGCGGATCTCGCGGCAGTGTCCGACATCCCTGATTGCGCAAATGACATGGCTTGAGTTGTATCGCTGGATTGGCTCGGACTTTCATTTGAGTTTCTGTCGGTGGCCTGTCGCTGGAGGGACAACTTTCTTTCACTTCCGTCTCCGGAATGCATGCTCTTGTACTTCACTGCGCTGCAAGTGTCCTGGTGCTCGATGAAGCTCTCTACGCTGGATAATATCACAGCCACAGAGAGATCCTTTAAGATAGGTGGATCTAGACGTTGAACACAAGCTTGTCCAATAAACGCATTTTAAAAGCATAGCAAAGTTTAAGTTTCCGACAGAAGTATATTCAAGTTTACCACTAAATTTACTTTGTAAGCATACTTTTATGGCTGAATTGGAGACGCACCGTGAGAAAACTCGACCACAATCACAACAATGACCTCGTGTCCCACAGGTCTTCAAGTGAGCTTTGTAATCAGACTGCACTGCGTAGCCCTTGGAACATTTATCACATTTCCACTGCTTCTCAGTGCAATGCTTACGTCGATAGTGTTTCTTGATGCCAACAAGATCGCCGAGAGCATGTGACGGGTCGTGATGTAGACAAGATCTCTCCGGACAAACGTAAACACGCTTGAGTGTCCCTAGGCTAGGCCGTTTTAGAAGCTTCCATGGAACCTGCAATACCATCAGATGTTAGTGGCTGTTACACAATCGTCAGTTACAAACTAAACCCTGCTTGAGCACCCCTTCAAGAAAGTCACCCAGCCTACATAGGAAAAGCTCTCGCTTGTTTGTGCGAACCTTGTGGCGACGTCTATGCATTTGCAAGTTTTGATCACGTTGGAAACCCTGATTGCAGATTTCACAAACATATCTGTCTGATTCCATCAACGTCTTGGGAGAAAGAGCCACAACCTCAGCACCTGGGTCTGCGTTCATGAACCAACAGCAAAGCGTCAATAATGCACAAGTCACAATCTAGAAGTTGAGAAATAGCAATTGTAAGTGGTTCAAATAGGTGGATATTTAGGGGCAGTACTAAGCTTGGGGCTCCTTGGTCTTGCCTTACCCCACTACTGATATCCGGGCAAAGTTCATGAATTCAGGTTCAGAAGCCTGAAATTCAACTCACAAAAACGTAATCGCTAGTCATCACTTTGGGTTTAATGATGAACATGGAAGTCCAGAGCGGAAGTTTTTTAGTGAGGCCTTCAAAGACGCAAGGTGTGTGCACGACGACAGGTGATCAGTGCAGCGGTTAAGAAGAAAGACGACTATATTTGAGCACTGGCAAGAACCGACACTGACCTCTAAGGCTCCTATGCACTAGTCTAAGCGAAATACAGACAGCCACATTTGCACTGCACTTCTGCATTCGCTGGGCTACATGATACTTCTGTAGAACCATCCTGATGGAAATTGCAGCGGTTGAAGTGATTATTATCACGTAACAAGTGCACCTATGTTACTGAACATGAATCCACACCTCACTCTTTTGTTGCGAGAGATTTGAAACCTGGTGCGAGACAGCAGCAAGTGTGAATCTCAATTTTTCAACGCTTAGCCTCTGGCAATAGAGCACGCACGCACACTATCAGTGAGCTAAGACATGGGAAGTTCACAAGACCGACCATGGAAGAATCACTCGTGTTTGCAGAAAACTGCTTGTCATAAAAACTTCAGCTAACGAAGACAACGTGTGAGACTTTGAGGGCAATTGTTTCTGTGATCGATTCTCGAAAGCTGTCAGCATGGAGTAGGTACGCTAACAAAGAAACCACCAATTCGTGGTAACGGCCTTAACCCTCAGATAGGAGACTAACGCGACAAGCGATTTAAGCCCGAAGCGGTCCAAGCCGCCACAAGAGCTGCGCTGAGGGTTGCGCCATCGTCGTTGCTACAGGCTCAATCTCCTCCAGCAGAACAGGAAGGAGGATGCAAACAGATATGACCACGGACATCTGATGAGGACGTCAACACCGAGAGGTGCATTTCATGTGTAATTGTAGTTGCGACCTCGTGAAACTAGCTGCGGGAGCATACCGGGCGTTCCTGCTGGACGTCTCTTGCGCTTGTTGACCACTGAACCTGCCGTAAGAGGCAGAAACTCCGACACCACATTGCAGCCTTCGGGGAGGAGGTGGAGAGCGCCATGGCCACCCCCAGCTGAAGGTAAGGCGTTCATGGGACTCCGGCCTCCGACTTCTATCTACGACAAGAGCGTTTTGATCAGTTGCAGAAACCTCTGTTGTAGTACACCGAGTTGATGATTTGATCATCTACACCAGCCACCTCGAATACTGCCCATGCTTTTGTTGCCGGGGGGCATCTTCTGCTCTTCTTCACCTTCACTCCTTTTTCTATCTATAGTCTCTATTGCCAGGCCTACCCCGGCCGAGGCGCACTTGAACATCGTCATCTGAAATCACTGGCAAGACCATCATCAACTGGAGGTGCAAGGAAATTACTCGCTCAGGTGCGGCCCTTACGCAGGCTATCACCCTCGACACCTCTCATAACCTCAGCTCTCACTCACGACATTCTATGCAGCGTAGTGAAACTTTAGATTGACAGCTTCGGAGATGACGTGTGTGTACTATATCCGGCAAGCTAGGGGATCTTGAAAATAAAATTTTAAAGTTGCCCAGTTGAATCTGTAGCGTCGGTGGCCGGGTGCATTCAACCCCTTCGAGATAACTTCCGATTGATCCTGTTTGGGTGCACGAATTGTCCATCATCGGGCAGTGGTGAAATTTAATGCGTACCATTTACGATACTCTCACAGGTTACTGCAGACCTCTCAGCAAATGGCAGTTCCTGTGAGGCTCAATCCCTGTAGGACAAACTTTTAAGACCTGGATCTGTCCCTACGCTGGAGAGGTTGTTCCGAACCCTCTCACGGGACTGCACGCCCATGTCCTGCCAGAAGAGGCGGTTCTCAATGGAGCTCGAGTTTGAATCTACAATTCTTCCGTAAGATTCCAACGAATTTTACTTACTTTGTGAATTTCTAGTGAACGCCATGGTAACCGAAAAAGATAATCTTTCCACATTAATGAGCACGTAGGCCATCATTAGGTATTGACAACTAATGCTGCAATACTCTCAAATGCCACTTTCATTGGTGCCTTTAAGAAGAATAATAAAATATACATATATATATATATATATATATATTCCATCCATTCATTGAGATGAAACTCTTTCTCGGTCTATAAGGAAAAGCACGTCCAGCTCGGATTGAGTTGCAGTATCCAATGCCTGTTACTGCATAAATGCTCCTTTCTGCGCACCTGCAATTTGTATGCTCCATTATACATGTTTTCTAGTGTTCCTAGGCATGAAGAGCGACCTCGTCCATCCAAATGATTTTCAGGCCATTCTTGCTAGCGTTTGGGTTTCTTGCCACATGATATCTTCATCCATTTCAACCCTCTCCAGCAGACACATCAACAAAAAAAACCCACAGAATTTGCACAAAGCAAGTTTAGGTGTTTGCCAAGGGCTACTTTGCAGCTTGGCTGTTGACGAAGCTTTTATGCATGGCAAGAGGATGCCCGGCCCCACTATAAGGACATGAACAGGGAGGCTAGGCTAGTGCAACCAAGGACGAGTGGAAGACTGGCGCTGGACATGCTGCTAGTGGACGTTGCTCCAAGTAAAATACTGCGGCAGAATTCAGTAGGCGAACACATATTTCCATGAGGCTTTTACCGTCATTCTTGGTCAGCCTTTTTCAGTCACACTCCACTGAGCCTCGCGTCTGTGACGCTCCACACTGAATGTGCGGGCACCCTCTTGTAATTTCTTGCCATGTCCTAATTTTCTGCGCTCTGCTATGGAATCAGCATGGTAATGCAGCTGCTTGCCCCTATCTCGGTTGATTGCAATTCTTGCAAAACTTCCTCGAGGTGAAACTGCGCAGAAATAGCAAGCTGGGGTGCATGCGTTCATGTATAGCATGATAAGCCAGCTCTTCAGTGACTCGAAACAGAATCCCAGCACTCTCTTCGCGTGAGTAGTTAGTTGGACCATGGAGCTTTCAGTCTGTCCAGCAAGGATGCTAGAGCAGCGGACACATGGCAGCTAGGAAAGTATTGGGTGCATGGAAGTCACTTATCCCGTTCGGATGCTACCTATTCTCAGCAAAGGTCGTCAGGACTCATTTTGGTCGGCATGAATTATACAGGAACGTCTTACCGTCGATTCATGCCTTTATTAGCTTCGGGGGGAACCTCCATCAAGCCCCCATCAAGCAAAACGGGAAAGTCGACAAGGGTTGCTGTAAGTGGAGGTATGCACCGAGTTTCCGACTAAAGCCCGCTATGCGTGCTACCCAACACGGTACAAGCATCGCGTCGTCACGAAAAGGTCACGAAGAGAAGATGGAACCCTGATAATGATTCCGCAAGTTTGGCCCTCCTGAGATGCCTCTAGCCTGATTAAGTCAATTGACCCCAACCGTCCTCTTTTAAAATTTAGACCTTACACCTTGAATAATATTCAGATAAATTCGTTTGATTCTACCATATGGTTACTGCTTATCGTTATTTGTCCCTATTTCTGCTATGGCGGCAGGCAAACATCAACATGAGCGGTTCTCATCGCTGTCGAAGCATGCCAGCCTCATCTCGTTTCCAGGTTGTGCGGCGCTTGTAACAGCAAGTGTACCTTACAGACCCTTCACGAGGACCATGTCGCCATTCATCCGGAGATTCTTGTGGGGTCTGTGAAGTTATTCAATCACCTGTTTCACAATTTCCTTTTCGTGCACCTGCCATATCCTGAGTTCGGCCACAATTTGATATCCATTTTTATTTTGCCTCAAAAACAGAACTGCTATCATCTGCCAGTTGTGTTGAATAATAAACGTTGGAAAAGGTTTATCCTTCCCCTTTTTGGAGCATTTGTGATTGTAACAAATGAAATCTGCTAGTTGGATGAATGTATTAGTTGGACGGATGGATGAATGCATGGTATCAAAGTTGGGCCTATTTTGATAATTACAAATCAATAGATCACAAGATTCAAATAAGACACACTTCACAATTTTGGCATTGCTTTGCTTCCAAGACTTTTTTGACTTCAAATTCTTGATTATTATCCACTTCTATAGAAACAAGTGGCATTTTTTTTCCAAAATATTCACTCTCTTCATTGGCTCTAAAAGAGACACATAAATTAAGAAATAGAGCTATATAAACTCCAATAGGTGTAATTCATAAGGAATTGGATTGATTTGTTGACAAAAAAGAATCAATCTAAGTCTATAGTAATCCAACTTGTGATAAAGACAAACATTCTAAATATTACAACAAAGTAATCATATCTTATTGCCAACATAGAATTAAAGTTTTTTCTTGCAATAAACATCTATATTGATCATTTTTTATTCTTTAGTTTTTTTAATTATATATTTATTATAACATGTGGTTTGAATAAATAAATTTTAAATCTTTTATTGTAAGATTATTAACTTTTAAGAAGTCAAAAGTATTATGATGTAGATAATAACCATAATTAGTATAAAACAATCTTTGTTAAATAGAAGAATATATAATGTTATTATAGGCAAATCTTGTCAATATGTAATAATAAATATTATCAAAAAATAAATTAGATATTTCTATAAATATAATTTTTTATATATGATATAAAATATGTTATTTTGATGAAATAATCTATTATCACAAATATCAAGTCATAAAAACTTGAGATTAAAAGATCTATGATAAAATCTATAGAAACAAAAGACCATGATTATTTTAGTATAGGCAATGGCTGAAAAAATCTATAAGGTTGTTAATAAGGAGTTTTTAATCTTGAAAAAATATTGTATGATGGTACAAAGTCCTTAACTGCCTTCCATATTTGAAGCCACCAAAAATTTCTTAGTATTAATTGTAAAATCTTATAGTATCTAAATTATCCTACAATTTAAAATCATGGTAAGTTTAAAAAGTACTTTTGAAAAATAACATACAAGTATTCTTCAAAATTTAGAATATTATTTTTAAACTCAAATTTAAAATTATCATAAAATTTAAATAGATTATTTTTTAAATAAAAAATAAGATAATCTAAAGACATAATTAATTGAACTTGCTTAAGAAAGCTTCAATCAAAAGTCAATGTTGATTTTATTTTTTAAAGATGAAATTGAGGTAGTTTCAAAAGAATTATTTTTTATTAATCAAAAATTACATCTCTTTCTTTTTTTGCAAGATAAAATCTAAAAAAAAGACGTCTAATAAATCATGTTGTTTTTTTCTAATCAAGAAGTGATTTTTAATTCAAATCTTTACATAGACATGCTCTAATGGATTTAATAAAAATTTAAAATATGTATTGACATGAAATATTCAAAGTTCTTGTAATCTATATAAATAGCCATTAAGCTAGAAGTTCTTCCAAATAATGGTAACATTTTTAAAATAAATCTTTAATTATTAAAAGTTCTTTGTTATGAATCTCATACTTGATCTTAATTATCATATGTTTTTTTAAATAAAAAGCTATAAGGTGAAGTTTGTCATTTTTTCCAATTTGTGATTATACTTTCCTTAAGAAAAAAGTCAATGCATATGTTTTTATAAAAAAAAAATATATACTTTAAAAAAATTAACAGAATATATAACTAAAATTGTTATAAAATTTGTTTTCAAAGCTTCAAATGATGCTTCAGTTTTTTTATTTCACTCAAATATTTTTTACAAGTCAAATGTATAAATAGAGCTATAATTTTAGAAAAGATTTTGATAAAGATTTAATAGTAATTAGAAAATCTCAAAAAATATTTAACACCTTTTATTATTTTTTAGACATTCCAATCCATGATAGTCTTAAATTTTTTAAGTTCTATTATTATGACATCATTTGAAATGATATATTTTAAATAATCAATTTGGCTTATATAAAATATAATATTATCAATTTTAATGTATAGTCTTATATCTCTAAGTTTTTGTAACATACAATAGATATAAAGTTTATGCTCTCTTTGTTTTTAGAATAGATTAAAATGTTGTCTAAATAAAAAATTTTAAAAAATGATCTAAAAACTCTTTAAAAACATCATTTATTAGATGTTGAAACGTAGCTAGTATATTTGTGAATCCAAATAATATTACATTATATTTGAATTATTCATACTTAATTCAAAATATAATCTTCTATTTATTTTCTTCTTTAATGCACAGCAAATTGTATGTTTTTTTAAATCTATTTTTAAGGAGATCAATTCTAAATTCAATTTATTAAGAAGTTTTGATATCAAAAGTAAAAGATGCATATTGTTAATAGTGATCTTATTAATCCCTTGATAGTCCATATACATCTACAATGATTTGTCTTTTTTCTTTATAAATAAAATAAAAACTCTTGTTAGAGATTTTAAAAGGTATATAAAATTTTTAGCAAGGTTTTCATTAATATATTTTTGAAATGTGGCCAACTTATTTTGCAATAAGCTATAGATTGGTCCAAATGGTTGTTAAGCTATTTCTTAAAAATTAACTAAATAATCATAAGAATAATTTT